AAAGAAAGAAAGAAAAAGAAACCCATAATATTTGCTGAGCAACCATGGTAGATAAAGCTATATACAGATCCAAATAGGTGGCAAAGGGAAGAAAACCCTTGACAGACACTAAGCAAAGGTCAGAGTGTGTATCAAACTGAAGAGGAAGGGCCAAGCAACAAAACGACCAAAAACATTTTTAGCAAGCCATAATGATATGGTCTTTCTTTAGAAATTGCCATTGAATAACTTCCCAGAATATTTTCAGACACAAAGTAAAAGCAGAAATCAGCATTTACCTCTAAAACAGGCCATAATATGGACAAAAGTTATATGCATTAATACAGGATTTTTATTGTTGGTAATAAGCGGGCCATAAATCAGCTGGCATACCTTTATGGGGAGAGGCAGAGTTCTCAAGGTCAGCTCCTAGAGACATCATTCCTTTCCTGCATTAAACAATAGCATCATCTTGTAGAGTGAGCCAAACCTTCCCAAGGCTTCATTGTGACTAAAGAAGCCCAACTAGAGGATGCGAATGTTTGAGTTTGGTGGTAAGCAGAGTCCTATATTGCCAATTCCATTTCTGTGTCTGCCGTTAACCTGGTATTAGAAGAGCAAATCACTTCAGCTTCTCACTGGGTTTTTATATGTGCCACGACTGCTGTTTAGAGGATTCCGATAGAAGGAAATTTTACTGAAGGAACCAATTAACTCTGGCAAAGAGCAAGGTGTTCAAGGTGCAACAGGAACGCCAAGAATCATTATTGACTCAAAGTCCCATTGTTTGTGCCAAAGTCAGTGATAGGAAATTTAATATTTAATTCCTCTACTTTTTTTTTTTTTTAAGTTCTCAACAGAACATCCAGCTAAAGTTTTCAACAGCTGAGGAGCAAGGTGAATCACATCGTACTAGAACAGAAAATGCTTTGCTGAAGATTTAGGTGCAAGTTAAAATGTGTAATTTAATATACAAACATACAGCAGAAAACTTGGTGGTTAGTGTTGGAGTCAGCAGGGCTGGCCTAGAAAGAGCTGAACCAGGAGCAGTATTTACGGGGTTGCAAAAAAGCTCAGTAATCAAGACACATCATATTTTAATGCAGTATTTTTAAAATTCAAAATATCAAAAAATCCACAATGAACAAAGCATCACATTTTTTTAAAAAGAATTTTAAATAAAGAAGTGCTGTACAGAACAATGTAAGAGCTAGAGGCAAATGAAAAAAATCAATAATACCAATCCTGTCTTTATTTAAAATTTTGATATTTTGCTCATCATTTCTTTTTTTGGCATTAGTTCTGAGTCCTTTAAGTATGGCATTAAAATATTGTTCGTCTTGATTACTGAGATTTTTAGCGCCCCTTTACATTTTGCCATCAGGGCCAGTGTCCAGCTCAACTCATCCTAGTCACGACCCTAAAAGTCAGTACCAGTTAGTAGAAAAGGCTGCAGGAGCAAACCTGGTCACCTGGGGACCTCAGTGCTGTGGGCCAATTGTCCCCAAGGGAAGGGCTAGAGGCAGGCGGGCTCCCGCCTGCCGGCCAGACCCCAGCCTACCTCGCTTATTCTGAGTGCCGTGCTTCTTGGCCAGGGCGATTTCTCTCTGGATTCGATTTTCCAGGTACTCTTGTTTCTTGCCCAGCATCTCCTCAGTCTCCCGGAGTCGGGCCAGGGCCTCCTGGGGACTGGGAGCCGCTCGGCTCTTAGAAGAGCCACCCCCTTTAAAGAATTTGCCCAACTTGCTCATGGCTGTGGAGCTGGAGAGCTAGCGATCCCGGGGGCCTGTCGGGAGCTCCCCAGGACCGCGCCGGGGCCACAGGTGAGCAAGGCAGTTCTCTCAGGGACCCAGACCGGAAAGGCGGCGCTCCTGGGAATCAACAAGTCGCCGTGGACAGGTGACACACACTCCAGGGCATTTCCTGGCCGCCAGCTCGGCCCCGCCCCGCGGCACAAGGGCTGGGCGGGGAGGGCACTGCTGGGAGGGAGGTCGGCTGGCCGGCGCCACTCGGCCCCCTGGGAATTGAGCGAGCGCAGAGCAGAGCAAAGTTGGAGAGACAGGCAAAGACTAAGGGAAGTTGCCTTTTATCCACACTAGGGACGTCTCAGGATTGAAGAACTAGTTTGTGAATGTCTCAAAGAAAAGCAAACCGATGTCCCGGGGTCTGGGACAGGACGTGAAAGTGTAAGTGCGTAAGGCTGGACATGCAAAGCGTGTCTTTTGTGTGTGCATGAGCATAGTGTTCCTGTATTCAGGCCTCTTTTCTTGTGAATAAGAATATTCAGCTCTTTTCCTCTAGGTGTATGTCGTGTAGGTATGAGTGTGTGGACACAAAGGCTTCCAGGATATTTGCCTGCCACTACACTACGATGCAGGTGTGTGGGCAAGCTAGGCGCAGCTGCTGCTACTGGGCTTGTTTCTGCATTTGGTAGTCTGGGCAGGTTGATGTGTGCCTGGGTACCAGTTGGCACAAGTAGATTCTAGATCATCCTTGAAGGACTTGAAGTGGGTGAAAGATGGTGGCCATCTCTTTTCCTAGTCAGGGCTTTTGGGGT